TGTTTGTGTTATACGCACAAAGGCGATCAGGTGCTCTAAGGCGATTAGTACTAGTCTCCTTCCTCTGAAAGAACCAGAGAACACTGTGATAGATCAAGCTGGCTCTTCGTTGTTGGATGATCTCGAAATCGATTTCGATAGGATCCAATCGGAGTTTCTCTTCCCGGATTTGATGGATTTTGACGCTTTGGGCTGTGGAAACGTAACATCTCTTGTTTCATCTGATGAGATTTTGGGAGATTTGGTTCGTGCTGATGATTCTTCTCAAGGTAATCTTGATCTTAATAGACCTTTCACTTCTTATCAGCATCACGATGAAGATTGGCTCAGAGACTTCAGTTGTTGAGTGACTTGAGTATAGTTTAATCAAGATTGACAAAAAGCTACGTTATTACATATCTCTCTATACGAACTAAAGTATATTTTGTATTGTCTGAAAGCTTCTAGTTCTCTAATTAAAATTTTCTACTTTTGTTGTGTTTTTCTTTTGTATCCATAAATTATCGATTTTGCACTCTAATTCTATGGAGACCAGAAATAATATTGATTACAGTTCGAGTGTTATGGAAATGATAAATATATTAGTATTGCAAAGTATGGGAAATACGCAATGTCGAATTTATGAGAAATTGTGTTTAATTCATTTATGCATGCGCAAATGATAGAGCTTTTATTATAGCCTAACTACCGCTTAACCACCCTACCCATAAATTTTACTTACGTTATTATTGTTCTTGGTAACACGAATCTTTTTTACATTATTTGTATAACGAAATTTGACTTTTATATACAGGTATATCTATTTATAGGCAAACACACTCGTAAATGTAAGCATTTCTTTTTCATTTTTGGAACCATTATAGAAATGGTTATAACTTACATACAAGGTGGACCCAATACTATTAGGAGCCTAAGAGCACCTCCATCCGTCTCGTTGGAGAGAGTCTCTCAGTTAATAATCCCTTATATATTAATTAGAGAGTGATTTGCTTATATTTCTTCATCAAAATCATTCTCCTAATTTAATTGTGACATGACATTGTAAAAAATGTAACATGGCATTCTAACTCATTAATCCAACAAAATTAGTCCAAACTCATTAAAAAAATCGGCCAATCCCTTATTAGCCCAATTATCCAACACAATTAAACCTAATCTTCACTATATATAAGGGATCACGGCCATAATTTTTATTATATCAATTCAATTAGCCCAAACTCATTAAAAAAATCGGTGAACATCAATTATTAGCCTAATTATCCAACACAATTAAACCTAATCTTCACCATATATAAGAGATCACGACCAAAATTTTTTTGATATCAATTCAATTGGCTCTCAAACTGTTTTTTCGATTTTTTTGATTTTTTAATTTTCTTAAAAATGGAATTTCCATCAAAAGTAAAAGGAAATTTTTTTTTTCCGTTTGATCAAATGTCTTTTTTATATTATTTTTTGTAGTTTTGGGTTTTTTTTAATATATAGAGGATACCATTTCAGATATATCCAACCCAAACAATTGCTAAGAAGACAATGTTCAA